TTTTTTCATACAAAAATATAATTTAATTAATCTTATTTTCATTTTTTTCTCACGATACATATTTTAATGAATAAGGAAAAGTTACTTTTTCGAATATTATTCGGCGGTCACCATAGGATCGACGGTCGAATTGTCGATCAAATTTCGATGCCACATTAATCTTTGGCTAAAATATTTTATATAAAGAAAATTTGCTACAGTTTGTTTCAGATTTATAAAATTTCATTTTGTTAAGTTGAAAATTTTTTCTTTTTTGTTTACTTGTTTTACATTATGTTACTTTTAATTTTTTTATACATTATGTTTCTTTCTAATTTATTAAATATTATTCGAAAAGAAATCATGATAATTTACGAAAAGTTCGAAAATATAAAAAGTTAAAAACTGTGTTAAAAAGATTGTCAAAATTAATTATTATATTGAAAATTTAAAAAAGAGAAAAATGAATTATGGAAGGATTGAAATGCAAACAGGATGTGGTGATGCTGCTGCTTCATTTGGATCAAGTCCACGTTGAAGTGCTCGATGTCGTGCTACTTGCTTTTCACGTTCATGCAATTCTTTTAACTGGAATTTGATAGTGATTTAGAAAAAAGCTTATCCGGAAATCCGAAAAGCATATACACAGACATATATGTACGTGCATGGAAACTTATCCGGAAATCCGGAAATTCCAATTACAATAGTTACATCATAAAGCTGTCGTTCGTGTCGTTTTTCAAGATCATATTTGAGTGCTTCCAATTTGCAAATATGTGAATGCAATTCATAAATTTTTATTTTCAAATCGTTTATCAGTAAATGGGAAATATCCGGTTTTTGGTTCACTTTTGCCATGTAAGCACGTTTAGCTTCTTCCTTTTCTTCTCTCTCTTTATCATTCTTCTGAAAGTATAAAATTAAAAACAAAAAAAGGGGGAAAATTGAAAGTACATTTTATTGGAATCAAATTTGAAATAATTATTGAAGAGAATTATTTATGTAAATTATTATGCTTTTATCTTTTTTATATTCAAAAATATTTTTCAAAATAGATTTTAGAAAATTTTAATTTTACTTTAATTTTTTAAATGTATATAGACATTGTTAATGTGTCGAACTTACATTTCGTTCCGTTTTTTCTCGTTTCTGAATGACAAAATTAGGATTACAGTTGTTACCGGATGAAACGATACCGGCCAATGAACCGGCAAGCATTGCTTGCTTTTTGCCTCGCTCTTCTTCACGTTTCCGTTTTTGTGCCTCTATTCGAGCTTTGCTTTCTTCCTGAAAAAATTTTTAATTTTTATTTGAAATCAAATTTTTTATAGTAAATACAAAAAAATAAAAGAATTAAAAAAATAAATGATGAATATTTGTTAAGTAGTTACGTTGAGAAAATTTAGGGAAAAAAATTTGAAAGTTTTAATTTAGACAAAAGTAATTCAAATTATTTTTATGGAAAAAAAATTTTTTTAATGAAAAAGCAACAGTATATTTGTAAATCATTTAATTTATTATAATTTGAAGGAAAATGGAAAGAGAATTAAAAAATTATATACATTTTCTTATGGTTCTATTGAAATAGTGAAAAAAAATTGTCAAATATTTATCGCCATGAAAAAAATCCTCAAATATGTGTTAAATGGAAAAACTCTCAGGAATTCTGTCAGGTATTTATTACTGTGCGATAGAAAAACTCTCAAGTATTTTCCGTTGTACGGTAGGAGAATTAATATCAAATGATAGTATTTTTTTTTTGAAAATAAAACTTATTTCTTCTTGACGATGTTTCTCTTCAGCTAAACGTATTTTCTCCGCTAATTCTTTTTCTTCCTGTTCACGTTCACGTCGACGTCGTTCTTGTTTTTCACGCAAATTTCTCAATTCTTGCTCCACGCGTTCATATTCCTCTTTTCGACGCGTTTCATATTGTAAGCGATATTCCTCTTCTTGTCGTTTCTTTGCTGCCTAAATTTTCAAGTGATAAAAATTTACTTAATAACGTACCTTTATAAAAATTATATTATAATATTATAAAGAGAAAAAAAGTCTCCAATTATTTGGAAAAAAAGATAGAAATTGAGAAATTCAAAAATTTGACTTACTAAAACTGCTTTCGTTGCTTCTGTCATTCCCATGCATTCCTTCTCGACTTTTATTCTTCAATGCAGTCAAATTTGTTCGCATTAACACAATTAAAAATAATAATCCTTTTTATTTTTTTAATCTTTTTAAAAATAAAAGTCAGATTTTCGCAGCATAGAATCGCGGTTAAAAAGTTAAAAAATTTATTAAATTTGATAAAACATTTTTAATAGATTTGAAATTTTAACAATTTATACTATCTGTCAATTATATGACATATTTTGATTATTTATCAATTAGTTTTGCAACTAATTTTCATAAATTTATCGCTTCCTCTATCAAAAAATAAAATTTATTTTCTTTTACTATTTTTTCCTTTTCTAATTTTATTCCTATTAATTTTTTCTTTATGCATAATTTTGATATTCAAAAATGTGTATGTAATCGTTAAAAAAACGAAGAATGGAAAAAGATTTTTTAATAGGAAAATTTTTTTAATGTTTTCAAGCAAGAAATGAATATTTCGAAATGAAAATTTTCTTTGAAATGATTATATTTTGATGGTAATTCAGAGAAAAAAAACAAATTATTTTCATTTATCATTGATAATAAATTTTCAACAATCATTTTTATTTAATATAATTTATTTTATAAACTAATTAGTCGTTGAAAATACAAATGATTATATCCAATTTTGCCAATTAAAATTGCAAATTTTTGGATAAAATTTAAAAAAGCAAAATTTTACAAAAATTAAATAAATGAAATTTTTTACATTTTATTCTCAGTTTTTTTGCAAACTCCATGCTGCTCATTTTCACTTTTATCTTCCGCACTCTCTTCACTCTCTTCATCATCATCTTCCTCATCTTCCGTTTCTATCTCTTCCTCCTCCTCTATTTCTTCTTCGTCTTCTATTTCTTCGTCCTCTCCTTCCTCATCAACCTTATTGGACCTGGAAAATTGATAATTGTTGAATTTTGATTTGTTTTTTAAAACAAAATTGATCTAATATTCATCCATTTTGAAAAAAATGAATGAAACATTAAGGAGAGAAAGGAAAATGTTAAATTTGTTAAAATTTTTTGAAATTTATTACACTATTGATAATGATTAATTTTCAAATAAACTTACAATTCTATCGTCTTTT